CGGGACAGGGCCCAGCATGGAAATCTAGTTTATCACATCCCTGCCACAGGCTCCCAGGAGTACAACATCCTTAGAATCAGCCCCATTCGCCCAAAGCAGCTGGTTCCAGAAACAGGCCCACAGCCTGCTCCTGTCTGTCTTTGCCCTGAATGCAATGTGTCCTTCCAGCTCCTCAGTGACCCCTCACCCTCATCTCATGCCCTTCTTGCCCAAATATGCATGCGGTCCATGGGTACCCACACGTCTACCTGTCTCCTGCCTGCCCTCATCTCATGCCAAAAGCTCAGACACCTTCTCTCTCAGGGATCCCATAGCCCGGGGCTTCCAGACTCTTGGATGCACACAGTAGCCTTTAGACACTCACTCACTCCTAGATGCCTGGGACCTGAGTCCCCACACCCGAGCTGCCCCTGGCCTGGACCTGGTCGTGCTCCCGTTGGCGCCTGCATCCTGCAGCCTCTCTGCCCGCCCACACCACCTCTGTCTCTGGTTCGCGAGCGCTGCGACCATCAGGAGCGGAACTGGCCCCGCGTATCCCTCACCTGCTGTCCCAGAGGGCGGCAGGCAACCGCGGGGTGGCGCCCAGCTCTCCTCCGCGCCCGCGCCGGCGCCCAACGCCTTAGGGCTCCGCTGGCCTCTGCTACGCCGCGCGCCTCCACGCGAATGGGCCGCTGCCGCCCGCCTTCTTGTTGGCCGCATCCCCGCCCACGCCCACCCCGCGCCCGGCCCGGCCCGGCCCGGCGAGAAAGCCTTAATTGGTAAAATCGCCCAGGAACCGGGGGCGGGGGGTGGGGTGCGGGGGCGCACCACGAGCTCCAGTGCCCAGGGCTGCCTGGCGACGCCGGCCCCCCACCCCACCCCGGGATGAGCTCACCGCTCAGCAAGGGCCGCCAGGCCCCTAGGGAGGGGTGATCACCTTCAGCACGGGTTCCACCGAGCCCACGTCTAGGCCCAATCTCAACGACTATGGCTGGGTCTAAGGGAGCCAAGCATTCCCCAGCTAGAAAGGCCCAGATCCAAAGCCACCTCTTCCAGAGACACACCCACAGTCACCGCAGCCTGAGTCGTTGCCCAAGCCTGAGCTGGCCACACAAGTCAGATCCTGTCCCCTGGAGTGAGAGGCATGGGGGCCCTTGCAGGTGTTCGTTGAGTGCCTATCATGGGCAAAGCTCCAGTGAATTAATCTGGATACACGGATTTAGCCCCAGCGAACTGAAAGGCCTAGCCTGGGAACAGCGAGCTGGAATGTACTGGATTCTCAGCAATTAGGTTCAGTTACAAACCTGACACTGTGCAGTGGGGCGCATCCAAAAAGCCTGGGGCCCATGAATCTGGTGGACAGAGCCACGCCCTGGCACTGTCAGGTTCTCTTCCTCTTCTAGAACATGCCCATTTCCTGGTAGCTTCAGATTCAGCACAAATGTCACGTCGCAGGGCGAGGCCACACAAAACACCACCATTTTAACATTTTTCATGCGATCACCAATATAACATACATTCTACATCTTCATCCAGTACACACACACACACACACACACACACACTCTGAAACAAACATTTCACAAAAGGAAAATTTCCCCTTATTACCTGTAATGTACTCATATTTTCTATTCTGTTTTTCTTTTGTTTTGTTGAATCAGGGTCTTGCTATAAAGGCCAGACTGACCAGGATTTCTCTATGTAGTCCATGCTGACCTTGAACCTGTCTGCCTCTTGCTGCTATCTCTGCTGAGATTGGACTTGTGTGTCAGCATGCCTGCTTCTATTTACTTTTGCCTTCTTCCTTCCTTCCTTTTTACTTTTTTTTTTTTTTTGAGGTACTGGGGGTTTGAACTCAGGGCTTTTGGTTTGCTAGGCAAGCACTTTACCACTTAAGCCACATCTCCAAGCCCTGACGTTCTCTATTCTATGTTATTTCAGTAAAAAAAAAAAAAAAGAGAAAGAAATCAAGGCATGGTGCTACGCATACCTAATCCCAGCTACTAGGGTGGTAGGAAGATCCAGGAGGGTCAAGAGTTTGAAACTAGCCCAGATAAAGGTAGTAGCTAGACTTACTTGAAAAAATAAAACACTGTAAAAACAACAGGGTTTGGGGCATAGGTCAAGAGCAGAATATGAAAGAGAAGGAGGAGGAGGAAGAAGAAGAGAGGCAACATACACTTCTAATCTCAGTCCTCAAGTCTGAAATAAGGGGATCTCAAGATAGAGGGTAGTCTTGGCTACATAGTAATACACAGAGAGGTGGGGAAAGAAAGGATGGGAGGGGAGAGGAAAAGAGGAAAGAAGAAGAAATAAATGGAAGAACGGAGGGAATTAGGAAGGCAAGGCGTTTGGTCACACTTGCTGAATGAATTAGGCACTCTGACTTAACTTGAAAACAAGGTGCTAGCCACTGTCCAAGCTCTCTGCACCTACTGTTGCTTTTGTAGGCTCTATTGACAATATTTCACACCAGTGGGTTATCTTCATTTGCTAGACTAGAGCCCTGAATTGAGGTCCATGAGATGGCTGTGCTTGGGTTCACGGCCAACACTATCCACAGCTACCCATGGGCATGGCCATCAGAGTGACACGGATGGAGCTTGGAAGAGGTGAGCTGAGTCACATGATGAGCCCCGCTGTATGTGAACTCTCTTTACACACACACACACACACACTCTCTAAAAAGTTGTTTACCTCAACTTCTTCCTTCCTGGTGAAGATCATAATAAAATCTTTTTCTCCTTGTGTTGACAAAATATTTTCATATACATTTTTCATTCAACATTCTGTTATGCTGTGATCGCAAGTTATAAAATCTTTCTTAGAAGTCACTTTCCATCTTTAAGGGGTGGAAAAAATCATTTTTTCTCATTCTTGACCTAAAATTGGCTGTTTTCTAGTGATACTCACAATGTCCACTCTGCCTGTCCTTCCCAGAAGGCTCCCCAGAGACCCTCCGAATGAACTGTACACACCCATGAAGCTCCTCTGGTTATCCCTGCCCGAGAGATGTGGGTGGATCAGGTCACCTCCCAGAGAACCAGGTACTGACAAGGGGAGAAGCCTTTCAACTCTGCTGCTCAGAGATTTGCTTGGCTCCTAGTGGTCTAGAACAGAGCTACACAGGTACCCATGGGGTGGGCATGGGAGAGTATCACAGTTTAGTTTCCTGGTGCCATATGTAGTGATATCCTATAGAGAGGCAACACTGAGACGGGGGTGGGGGTGGGGAGGTGGGTAATAAAAGGCACAGTACTGAGGCAGGTGCGAGAGTGTTCCTTAGGGAGAAAGCAAACCTAGAATTCCTTGACCTCATAAGGAAACAGCTTGGATCTGTGTGGGGAGGGCGATATGGGGGAGGACTGGGCAAGAGCTCTGTACACACAGTCCTCCGGGACAGAGGCCAGCACTGCAGAAGAAGGCTTGGAGAGGTGCTGGGGAATCTGATTTTGCCAAAACTAAAAAACTCCATGAGGCAGCTGCTGAATGGACCCAAGCACACACTTCCCCCTCCCCACCCCCCCAACCACAGCAGTTCTGAGAGAAAAGGAGTGAATTCCTTTCCAAGGCTTTCTGCCTCTAACTACCATGCAAAGTGTCTTCAGTAACCCACAAGCATCCTCTTAAATTTCTAGAGACATTTCTGTCTCTAGATGTATATGGTCAAAACAGAACTCCAAGCCAGGCGCCAGTGGCTTAAGCCTGTAATCCTAGCTACTTAGAAAGCTAACAGTTCAAAGTCATCCCAGGCAGACAAATATGAGGGATTCACCTTACCAATTAACAAGTAAAAAGCCAGAAGTGGGACAGTGGTTAAAGTGGTAGTGTGCCAGCCTTGAGTGAAAAATCTAAGCAAGAATGCCAGGCTCTAAGTTCAATTCAAGCCCCAGTACTGACACCAAATACCAACAACAAGAATCAGGGATCCATCTCCTCACTATTGCACAAGTGTCTACCTCTTTAAATCCCCATGGAGAATTGGCCTGTGACCCTGAATCCTGGTTATGTCAGACTGGACCTGACTAAAGCTCTTTCCTCTTCTTGCCCTGTCACAAGAGACCAGACATCCTTGGTACTCTTCATGATCCACCCCCCCACCCCAGCTCTGGGCCTGTGCAATAAAGGGCATTTTAATTGGCCCTAAGTCCCATCAGGTGACTTTGTTTAGAATGACTGTCACCATCTTCTCACAACAGTCCTTTTCTGATCAAGGCCTTCATCAACTTTAAGCCACAGCGTGCAGACCCTCATGGTTTCCTTTCCCCCACCTGCCTGGCTATGTCCTATGTCACTCTGGACTTAGCGGCTACTCTGCCAGGAGAAGTCCCCCTAAAGCCCCCGCCTGGCTCAAGTGGGTAAACACCCGTCATCTGTACGTACTGAGTGTCCATAGCCTGTGCCCATTGGCACACCCGGGGCCCTTTGAAGGCCTCTTGGCCCAGTGCCCCATTTCATCCCGGGTGTAGTAGCAGGGGAGGCGGTGGGAACCCCGGGGCACAGGTGTGTGGGCTGGGACTTTGAGAACTGGCTGTGGTGGGGCGGGGTCTGCGGGGGGGCCGCGTTAGTCTGTGTTGGGTCTTTCCCACGGCTGCTGACCAGAGGGAGGCTGAGAACCCTAAATAACGCATGGTTGTGAACCACCCCGTCTGACAGCCTGCCAGCTGCCAACTGCTGGCTGGTTTTTGCCCGTTCAGATCGTGCTTGTTCGGCCCCTCTCGCACGTCTAAGCCCCATCTCAGCCGCGTGTGACGTCTCATCTCTCACTCTGCGCCCGCCCCCCCTGCCCCGCCTGCCCCGCCCCCGCCCCCGCCCCGCCCCCGCCCCCAGTTGTGTCTACTAGGTGGGTCCGCACTGCCTCGGCTTCCCTGCAGGCCCCGCCTCTTTTCCGCTTCCAGCCAATCCTGCACGATTGGGACGTTTGGGCTCGCTAGCAACCGCTCCACAGCCCCGCGCTGGGCCCCACTGCTCTTCACGGCCAGACCGGTCTATACCGGCTGGTCCCAGGGTTTGGCTCCGCCCCGCGCAGCGCGCGCAGCCTCCGGAGCCCGTGGCCGTGAGGTAAATATGACGCAGGGGTGACGCAGGCGTTCCTGATTCCGAGGTGCTGCCCCTGCCGCGCTTGCAAGCCGTGGTTGCTTGGGCCCTTGTCATCAGGCCCGGGCCATCTCCAGGCCTTCACCACTTATCTCCCAGTGCCTGCCGCGCCTGCCATGGACGACTACGCGGTTCTGTCGGACTCCGAGCTGGCAGCAGTGCTGCGCCAATACAACATCCCGCATGGGCCTGTCGTGGGTAAGCGGAAGCCGCCGCCGCCGCCGCCGCCGCCGCGCAGGGTCTTCCCCCCCCCCCAGACCCGCTTCCCGCGCTCCGCCCCCTCCTCCCGCGTTCCCTACCCTTGTTTCCCCGTGCTCTCTTCGTGTCCCGCTCCCTGATCGCCCTGTGTCTGGCCAGGTTCTACTCGTAAGCTTTACGAAAAGAAAATCTTCGAGTACGAGACCCAGAGGCGGAGGCTCTCACCACCCAACTCATCTTCATTCTCCTATCGGTTCTCGGGTGAGACCTCCGCACCACAGCTCCTCCTGGCCACTGGTGGAGATGGGGCTCGGACAACTGGGAGGATGGGGTCTCGAGGGTGTGGCAGGGGCACTAGCCAAGGTGGGCATTCGTGAGAAGGGAAGGAAACCTGGAGGGGCAAATGGCCCTGTCCCGTTTCAATCTTTCAATTCAGACTCTGATTCAGCGTCCAAAGACTCGGATATGTATGATCTGCCCAAGAAAGAGGACGCCTTACTGTACCAGAGCAAGGGTAAGGCACGGGTGGGGTGGGCACCGTTGTCCCCAATCCACCAGGAATCCTAGCACAGGGAGAACCTGAAACCAAGGAGTGTTAGACGGGAAAAACTGGCACAGGTCCCTAAATAGGGCTTGCACGAGGTGGGGGACACCACTAACCCATATGAGCCCTTTTTCCAAGGTTATAATGATGACTACTACGAGGAGAGTTATTTGACCACCAAGACTTATGGAGAACCTGAATCTGTGGGCATGTCCAAGGGCTTCCGCCCCACCACTTCACTCTCTGATACTGACACCTTACACCACCAGGTGAGCTTGTCTGTCAGGAAAACCTTGGGTGCAACCCAAGAGGATCATACCTGCTTTGTGTAAATCCAGGAAGCTGCTGGTTGCAGATGGTGGCTCCTAGGCCTCCAGGGAGCATTAGGGTACGCATATGTACCCTGTTTGGTCAAAGACTTACTTTGGGGTCATCAAAACTATTTGATTAGCTGGGCTCCAGTGGCTCATACCTGTAATTCTAGCTACTCAAGGAGGCTGAGATCTGAGGATCAGGGTTCAATACCAGCACAGGCTGAAAAGTCCCTGAGACTCTTATCTCCAATAAACCACTCAGAGAGCTGGAAGTGGTGCTGTGGCTCAAGTGGTAGCACACTAGCCTTGAGCTGATAGAGCTGAGGCCCAGGCCCAGGCCCAGGCCCAGAGTTCAAACCCCACAATGGACAAAAGAACCCCAAAAAACCAAAAAACTGTTTGATTAGGGTTTAGGTGTAAAGCTCAGTGATCCAGCACTGCAAAAGAAAGAAAGAAAGTTACTTTATTAGAGCACAGGAGGTTGATTGTAGCACACAAGGCAGTTCCCATGCTATGGTCTGAAATTTTGATTTTGACAGTCCTGGGAAAGAAGGAAGAGGGTGCTTGCACAGTTGTTAAATGGTTAAGGTCCCAAAGGAAAAAGTCCAGGAACCCTGAATGCTTCTGGAGGGGACAGGACTCTTGACTTTGACTATGATCAGAGTAGGCTGGCCAGACACATTTGTCCTCAGGGATATGAGAGGGCCGTGCTGATCCTGCTGGCCAGTTCCCTAACCCCAGCTCTCTTCTGCAGGTGCGCGATGACATGTTCTCTCTTTCGGAAGAGGAGGGCAAGGATAGGTGAGTAGTGGGAGGTCTAGGATGGGCAGGACAGGTTCTATACCCAGGCGGTCCTGACCACCTGCTCCCTTCTTTTGCTTCAGGGAACGCCCCGTGTATGGCCGGGACAGTGCCTACCAGAGCATCTCACACTACCGCCCCATTTCCAATGTCTCCAGGAGCTCCCTGGGCTTGTCCTATTATCCCACATCCTCCACCCCTCCTGTATCCTCATCTTCCTCTTCCTCTTCATGGCTCACCCGACGTGCCATCCGGCCAGAAAAGCAGGCTCCTGTGGCTGGTCTTGGGCAGGATCGCCAGGTCCCTCTGTGGGGCCAGCTGTTGCTTTTCCTGGTCTTTGCAGCCTTCCTGCTCTTTGTTTACTATAACATGCAGGCTGAGGAAGGCAACCCCTTTTGGATGGATCCCTGAGGGGATTGGCTTCAGAGCCAGTTCCCCTCAGATATCCTGACTGACTGCCTTAGCAGTGTTTTCTGGGGGTGGGGGGGGGTGGGGGCTTTTCTGTGTGTTCTCGCTTGGGGGTGCCGGGCCTAGCCCAGGGAAGTGCTCCCCTCAACACACACTTCATCCTGCCAGGGAAGCAACACACTTAGGCCTTCCATGGCCAGGTGGGCCTGGGTGTACCTTCCCCTGAGCCTCCTAGCACTGCTTGCCTCTAACCCTTAGGGCCCAAGAGGGCAAGACCTTACTCCTTTAGAGGAGAACATAGTTGTTGTTGTTGTTGTTGTGTTGATGATGTTGTCATGCATGCCTTTTGTTTGTTGTTACTTTGTTGTGGGGGTGCCTTCTGTTGTTGTTACTTTGTGTGGGGGGTGGGGAGGGTGATAACCAAAGGCCTGACTTTGTTTTCATGGACACACAATAAAAAAGAAAACGTTTATTTTTAATTTGTTGGTTCTTCCTGCTGGGGGGAGAAGTTGGATTCCCATGGCATGGGGACCTTTTGGTCTTGTCTTGGGGGTTCCTGTATGGCCTTGTCTGATTGGTTGTGCATTGTTGCTTTGGAATTGGGGAAGGAATTGGATGCTACCTGTGGATATCCTGACTCATTCCCCAGAGTATCTGCAACTATTATAACAGAGTATGCGCAGACAACCCCTGAGGAAGAGGCAAAACTGCATGTCCAATATACTGTGTAGGGATTTTCACCAGGGAAAGCTGACAGGAGCCAACCTCAGCATGTGAGGGCTGCATGCTACCATCAGAAGAAAGGAAAGTAGAAGCGCTGGAATGCACAGGTGGAAGCAGTCACCCATCGAGAAATGGGGTGCAGTCTTTTTCATTTGTTGCTTGCTATGGTGGTGGGACACAACTCGGCTTCTCACGTGGTATGGTATCCATGCAGTGCCTTCACAAGACTCCTGGGCTTCTTCAGGGGCTCTTAACTGTGGCCACATGGTGAGTTTGTGGCAGCCTAGGGACCCTCAGTACCTTCTGACCATTTCTCTGCTGCATCCTAGTCTCCCTACCCACCTTAATTTTTCATTATCTGAAAAGTAATACATGGTTCATTAAAAATATGCAGAAAAAGGGTGTGTGTGGGGTTATGTTCTCAGTGCTGCCCAACCCCTAGGACTAAAAATAAGTTATTTAAATAGAAAGGAATGAGTCAGCCAGGTGTGTTGTTACATGTTTGTAAGCCCAGCACTGAGGAAGTGGAAGCAGGAGTATTTTGAGTTTGAGAATAACCTGAACTACACAGAAAGACTTGTCTCAAAAAAACAACTGGTGGGCTGGGAATGTGGCTTATTAGTAGAGTGCTTGCTTAGCATGCATGAAGCCCTAGGTTTGTTTCCTCAGTACCACATACACAGAAAAGGCTGGAAGTGGCGCTGTGGCTCAAGTGGCTGAGTGCTAGTCTTGAGCAAAGAAACTCAGGGACAGTGAAAAGGCCCTGAGTTCAAGCCCCAGGACTGCCCCCCTCCAAAAAAAAAATGGGCTGGGAAGGTGGCTTAGTGGTAGAGTGCTTGCCTAGTATGCATGAGGCCCTAGGTTTGATTCCTCAGTACCATGTACACAGAAAAAGCCAGAAGTGGAGCTGTGGCTCAAGTGGTAGAGCGCTAGCCTTGAGCAAAAGAAGCTCAGACAGTGCCCAGGCCCTGAATTCAAGCTCCAGGACTGACCAAAAAAACCCCAACAAACAAAAACTGGTTCTGTAATCCTATTTACTCAGGATGCTGAGATTTGAGAATCAGAGTTCCAAGCCAGTTCAGGCAGACAAATTCTCAACACTCTTGTCTCCAGTTAGCCAGGAAAACACTGGACATGGAGGTGTGGTTTTAGTGGTAGAGCACCAGCAAAAACAAAAAACAAAAAACCCAGTGAGAACCCAAGGCTTGAGTTCAAGTCCTCGTACTTGCATGTATGTGTGTATGCATGCATATGAGTGTGCATGCACACACATACAGTTGGTTCTAGTTTTCTCACCACTCACACAGCCAGTCTGTCCTGTTTTGTTTTGTTTTTTAAATAGGGAACACTTCACAAATTTGGGTGTCATCCTTGCACAGGGGCCATACTAATCTTCTCTGTAGCGTCCCAGTTTTAGTATATGTGCTGCCAAAGCAAGCACTCCCTTGATTTTTGCAAACCCCTCCCACCTGTTTACCTTTCCAGATGCAGCCCTGCTGCTGTGGCTCCAGGCACCTGCCCTCTACACCATCCTAATCTCAGTGCAAGGGACTGAAGTCTGTCCTGCAGCCTAGATGATGATTGTGGGCAGTGGGTGTGGCAGATGCTGCTGCTTCATCGTAGCTCAGTAATAAGGACTTGATTGTATATCAGTGAGTCTAAATGGGGTGGCAGAACAAGCCGTCAGGTACCCCACCAGAACCTAAGAAGGATTTGACAACATCTTCCTGTTTCAGTGGCTGCTCACAAAATAGGTTGAGTGGAGGGGCTACAGGAGATTCCTGTTGGGCTGCAGCTTGGTGAGGACTAGGAGAGGCAGATGGGGCAAAATAGGAAGACACATGGTGACAAGGTTGACATCCCAAAGCTCTGAAGTAGCTGGGTTTTGAGAAGGAGTGTTACAAAAGGAAGGGGAGCTGGGCTTGGAAGCATCACAAAGATAGGAAAAAATAGTTCCCTAGGTCCACGGGTTGTACCTGAAAACTATGCCTGATGTGAAGAGAGAAAAGAAACAATGGCCACTAATGAACTTTTTTTTTAGTCGGTTTCGGGGCTTGAATTTAGGGCCTGGGCACTGTCTCTGAGCCTTTTTATGCTCCAGGATAGGGCACTACCACTTGAACTAAAGCACCACTTCCAGTTTTTAAGTGGTTAATTGGAGATAAGTCATGGGACTTTTGTGCCTGGGCTGGCTTTGAACCATGATCCTCATATCTCAGCTTCCTGAGTAGCTAGGATTACATGCATGAGCCACCAGCACCTGGCTGTGACTGCTTTTTGATCCATTCATCCTACAAGCGCTACTAGGTCCATCCATGGCCAAGAACCAAATAGATTTCTAGGACTCCTCCAAAGATCTACACCCCAAACCATCTGCCTGAGCTCTTCAGCTCCCAAGGTTTTCTATTTGGGTTTAGCTCATAGCTGCCAGGGATCCTGAGGGCTTTCGGGTCCCCAGCAACATGCTCAAGTCAGTCCTTACTGCTCAGTCCCTGGATTCACTCCCTCTATTACTGTGAGGATGTGTTCTGAGGCAGCAATGTGAGACCTGGGCATCTCAGGCTCATGTGTGGAGCCCTGCCTGCTAGGCCAAGCACAAGCCCAAGTACCCAAGGAAGGGGATGGGGAAATGTGGTCTACAGGGCTCTAAAGTCCTGAATGCATGCTTCTGTCCAGGACGCTCTAGCACAGTACCCAGACATGACACGTGAAGTTGGCATAAGGGGATAGGCAAGCAATCACACTAGTAGGGCACATGCTGGGTTGGGCTGTCCCCAGGCAAGATGGCAACCACCTTTTGCTGCTCAGAGGGAAGCTCATCCCTGTGCCCCACTGGAACCACTGGAACCCCAAACACCACGCCTCCAGCTGCCCAAGCCTGAGACACCAGAGCCCAGGTCCAGGAGAAAGCAGCTCATGTGCCTGGGCTCGCCCAACCCCAGGCTCTGCCCCCACAGCTTTATCGGGTGGAGGCAGAGGGAAGGTCAGGGCTGTCCACAGAGAGGGCTCCCAGACGTACGGAGCATTAGGGGACTATGGGAGATTCAGGGCATGTTGAACCACTGCTCTAACAAGACTAGCATGAGACTCACCCACAGGGCCTGAACGTGTTCCCTGAAACCAGCCAGAGAGCACCTTTGGCAGATGTGGGGGGCCACAGGCTCTCTAGGGCATAGAGTCCTTCTTTTGGGGGGGTTTTGGGTTCTTTTTTTTTTTGGTTGGCAGTACTAGCATTTGAACTCAGGGCTTTAAGCCATATCCCTGCCCTGCTTTTTGGATTTTGATTTTGGGGGGGGAGGAGTTGGGGAGGTGGGGAGGGAAGAAATGGTAGGGGAAAAACAAGGGGGGGGGTAACTGCTCGATAGGAAATGTACTCATTACCTTACTCATGTAACGGTGCAGTATCTTTACGATTATAGATATATATGTATGTATGTATATATATATGATGGGAAAACCACCTTCTGTCTTTACAAACATGGCTCCTTGCCAGGTGTCATCTGTGATTGTAGCTACTCAAGAGGCTGAGATCTGAGGATCGAAGTTCAAAGCCAGCCTGGGTAGGAAAGTCTGCAAGACCCTTTTGTCTGTCAGGCTTGAATTCAGAGCCTGAGCACTATCCCTGAGCCCTTTCACTGAAGGCTATTACTGTAGTACTTTGAGCCACAGCACCACTTCTGGTTTTTGAGTGGTTAACTGGAGATTGAGTCTTACAGATTTTCCTGCTTGGGCTGGCTTTGAACTGTGATCTTCAGATCTCTATCTCCTGAGTAGCCAGAATCACAGGTGAGACATCGGAGCCTAGCTTGTAAGACTTTTTTTGTTGTTGTTGTTGGTTGTGGGGCTTGAACTCCGGGTCTGGGTACTGTCCCTCAGCTCTTCAGCTCAAGGCTAGTAGCTCTCTACCACTTGAACCACAGCACCACTTCCAGTTTTCTGGTGGTTTATTGGAGATGAGTGTCACAAAGTTTCCTGCCCGGGCTGGCTTTGAACTGCGATCCTCAGATCTCAGCCTCTTCAGTAGCTAGGATTACAGGCATGAGCCACCAGTGCCTGGCTCTGTAAGACTCTTATCTTCACTAAATTTCCAAAAAAGCTGGAAGTAGAGTTGTGGCTCAAGTGGTAGAAAGCTAGTCTTGAGCAAAGGAAGCTTAGGGACAGTGCCTAGGCCCTGAGTTCAAGCCTCAGGATGGACACATTAAAAAATCCCAAACATAGCCCCTTCCAGCCTGGGCCCTGAGACAGACTGATGCCTGGGTTTGCCCAAGTACATAATCCTGGTGGCACACAGAAGTACGTATGCAAAGGGACCTCTGGAAGTTGGTTTCTGACTCAGAGTGGAAAGCAGGGACAAACTATTCCCTTGAATGTGCTCTTTCTCATACAGTTCCAGGTGTGACCTGTGAGATCAATGAAAACTACAGCAGTGGTCAAAGCAGGTCACTTAGGAGATGTGGTTTGAAGAAGATGGCTGCTTGGGCAGAGGGTGGTGGCAAAAGCCTGTAATCCCAGCACTGGGAAAGCTGAAACAATAGAATCTACCTTGTTCTGTCCAAGGCCAGCCTGGGCTACACAGTGAGACAATGTCACAACACAGAGAGAAAGAAAGGGATAAGAAATGCAAGACAGATAATTCCCAGTATTGGCACCCACACACACACACACACACACACACACACACACACACACACACACACACACACACACACACACACACACACAACCCTGTGACTTGATACTGGATGCCCCTTCCTGA